AACAAAGATACCTCGTACTGTTCTGGTAAAATTTCGATATTTTAATCATTAGCGCCGAGGTGTACCCGCAGTCCTTTGATGAAATTAAAAAAAACGAAAGTTTACCAATCTTCTAACACTGGCGATCTTAATCGTTATTTTGAAAAAGTCGTCTTTCATTTCAATTCTAATGTGTATATCTTGTACAGTGTAGTTCCCCCAACATCAGCCATGCTTATGAAAACATAGTCGTGTACTCACATTATAAAATATGAAAGTCGATGATGCATTTTACATAAAAAACACAATCCTGGGACCAGTGGGTCTAATGCACGCAGCTGTGATTCAGGCGCACAGTGAAAAAGATTTTCTCTATTTAACGAGTACTGTTGATTGGATTATTATATCCGATCATGTTGCTTTTCACTAGTCATAAAACAGCATCATGTCGTGGTTTTACATTTTTCTATCATTGTTAGTGGTGAGCCATTAAAAACTCTGGCAGGTGGTAAAACAACTATGTAAAATATGTTTTTTCTTTCACTTAGTTGTGTCCTGTTTTTTTCAAAAATTAATTCGTTGTATTTTTTTATTTCCTCTTTGTGCAATATTTTCTTTCGGAAAAATAGTCGTGGAGAATTTGTGTTTTGTCTTTTTTATTCCTGCAGGATTTTTCCTGTGCTTTTTAATCGCCCCCATCACTTATGAGGTCATTTCTATAAAGTCATTGCTGCCAATACCTGCCGTATGATAAACGTAGTTTTGTATACATATGTATATAAATATACTGTCTGTATCATGTAGTGCAACTTTGCAATGCTTTCCCGTGAGTTTGACCACGTGGTCATGTCAGTAGCATACAATCATTGGCCGATAATGATGACGTATTATCTCGCTGTCATTCAATTGTACGCTTTATAGAAATGTATAGGAGTTTACAATCCTACCGAAGACGTTCTCCTAAATAGCAACGGTTGCATTGAATACAATTTTAAAGCAAAACTTTTTTACCACTTTTTAAAACCATGATTTTCGATACATAATAGTTGTGCTATGTTAGCTTACAATCTGAGATAAAGCATGATATTTTCACCGTAGAAACCAATGATAACGGTATTTTAAGACTAAAATATAACCATTACTTTTTAATTTTCTCTAAAAAAAGCTATACCCTTAATCTTTTTTAAATCAACATCCTTTTAAAAGCCAGGGGTACAATTTATTGCAAAATAAACGAATTCTTGGTCATTAACTTATGAGCAGGTTTCTTAATTTGTCGGTGTCAAACTAACATTAATAATAATAATTCTCCGATGAAAATAAACGGTTATTTTTCACTTGGTTAGGGTCATTGAATTATCAGAACCAATATATAGAAAAAATCAATCAAATTGAGCTGACAATTATTTGAGAATTTGTGCTTACACAAACTGAAATGAGATATTTTGTGCATGGACGTTTTTCTAAAAGTAAACGTTTCTGTACAATATCACCCATTTTGAAGTTTTTGAGATTTTGCTCACACAGGCAGACATACCAAACTCATTAACATTCTCTTGTGCTTCCACACATAGGAGCTATAAGAAACCCCTAACTGCGCATGTTCGTAACTACCACGAATGCACGGAGTTATATCGACAGTGATGTCGTTCTAAGCACAACATCGACTATTTTATTTCCAGTTCTCCATATGTGTTTCTTCTCCGGAGTCTCATAACATACAGAGACATGGAGAAAGGTGAGTAGAATCGTGTTTTTTGTATACGAAAACTACCCAAACACTGCCCAGAATGTAAGGCGGCGTAGCGGCTGGAACAACAGACATATACACACAGGTGCCTGGCGATCTATTTTTGTCAATACATGGACGTCTATGGGCGGTAGATGACTTTATTCTTTCTAAAAATAATATAAATTATAAAATTGAAGCAGTTTGGTAAGTTTGAAGCAGCATATGTCATTAAATTGTAATCATCCGTGCTCGAAAACCCGGAAAATCGTCAATACTTGTCTCTGGCCGATCAGCCTGTACTATACTACTAACATATGGCAATGACAACTGGGGCCATGAAACTCATACAAATCCACTATAGAAGATGTCCATATCAGTTACCTTTGATTTCTTCTTGGTGTAACTAGAAATACACCATTAATTGGTGTTTATGGGGCGTTGGAAGATTCCCATTAGACACATTCATGAAAAAAAACAACTAATTAAATATTATAATCACGTAATGACCACAGTAACTCTTTATTGACGGCAGCTGCACAGTTGAACAAACAAACACATGAATAGTGAATGGTAAAAAAATAGAAAGCCAGCTAAAAAAACATAAATCTTACTGATATTATCGACACACTCGAACAAAGAAATTAACAATGACATTAGAGGCAACAAACGCAGTGATGAGACAAACAAATTAAGAAATTGAAAAAAAAATATTCGCAGTTGAAAGATAAAAAAATGAATGTGTCTCACTAATGAATAACAACACTGTGGTGATTCACACTGCACAATTCATTCGAAGGAGCCTGAGAAGAAGACTGTAACAACTTGAATTTGTCGTGATAGAATTTGTTTTGTTTAATATTTTATGTGATTTCAATTTTAAGTGTGTATTTTGACTCATTTTAACTTCAGTCATTATTTTGTGTTATTAGTCACCAAGATAATTTCACCAGGTTGTTTTATTCCTTTTTAGTGAACTTGATAAAATCATTATATTGTTGTGCGTTTTTTTACTTTAGTTGCACTCATATTTTATTCTTCTGTTCTGTAGACGCCCAAGTATTAACTGGAATAGATCGTCAGACCCCTCAGGCTAATTCGGTCCCACAGTCATGGGAAAATCGTACAAACCGGGGATTCAAAACCCGACTACAAATTTATGGGGAATATCCTTTCATGCAATTATATAATTATGATCAGCTGAAACTTGGATCGATAAATCTAGATATCAAAATAGCTTTCAGGTAGCCGAAAAATAAACCTACAGACGAAAGCTAGTTTTAATTACGCGACGAAACGATGTCTTGTTTATAAATAGGTAAAGAACAAGATGGCGGCGTATGTTTTCTGTTGATAGATTTTCGAAGGAAAATGTCGATTTGATCGATCCGAGAGGGTAATTTCGCCTCCAGTTTAGGTATTCGGGATAGTTATAGGTATCGATCTACTTATTTGTTTTACCTGCAACGCTGAATGGTTCTTAAATCGTCCTATACAGCCCCCAAATAGAATAGCATCCCCGGTTTTTACGACTTCTCGGTTATGTGTTGCCGACTGTTCCATGTAAGGAGGCCAGCCGACAGGACTGTACTCTGCCGAGAGATAAATGAATACGGCAGTCTCAGTATTTTAATATTTTCTGTCATTTTAGCAATTTAGCAATTTTTTGAGACCAAAGGCGTCGCAACGTCGAACTGTTTGGGTTCAGTTTACAACTAGCTACAAACTCTAGATAACCCTATGCTATAAATAGGCTATAAATAGCTAACACAACCCAGGCAAGTACACCATGGCGGTTGGTTCATTCATCCTCGACCCCCTAAAAAATTCACAGTCCTGTATTTCTTAGAGACTGATAGTGAAATAACATAAACAACAAAGCTTCACCCTCAACTTTGCATGAACATATATCACTCTCTGAATGTTTATATTTTAATTACGCAACGAAACGACGTCTTGTTTATAAATAAGAACAAGATGGCGGCGTATATTTTCTGTTGATAGTTTTTTTTTTTTTTGGAAAATGTCGATTTAATCGATCCGAGTGGGTAATTTTCTGTAATTTCGCCTTCAGTTCAGTTTGAACGAAGTTAAATTTTCACAGAAATATGTTTAAAAGAGGGCATTTATTTATTTATTGATTTTATTTTTACATTATTTATAATTCTGAATATTTTACTGGTTTTTGTGAAAATAAATTGCAGCAGCTAAGACGAGAAACTGGTTTGTAAATATAAAATAAAAATAATCATAACATTTGTAGTCTGATATCAATAATTTGTAGATTATTTTATCTGTCTTAGATGGATCCTGTAACAATTGAAGGCGGCGTGTCTAATGTAAAAATGAAGCAACGAACCAACAATAAATAAATAAATTGCAGCAGCTAAGACGAGAAACTGGTTTGTAAATATAAAATAAAAATAATCATAACATTTGTAGTCTGATATCAATAATTTGTAGATTATTTTATCTGTCTTAGATGGATCCTGTAACAATTGAAGGCGGCGTGTCTAATGTAAAAATGAAGCAACGAACCAACAATGCAGTGCTTGGATTAAGTATTACACAGCTGGTGTTGGCCGTTGCATTGTTCATCACTGGTTACCTCGTTATTGTTAACGACATGAAATTTGCCTTCGTAGCTGCACCTATATGGGGTGGTATTGTAGTAAGTGTGTTGACTTCCCTTCCTCGATACTCACTATTAAAGGGGACAAAAGGCAAAGGTTAGATATCAATATTGGATTAACGTAAATGTAAAACTGTTTTAGTGATAGATTATTATTATTATTATTTCCACAGACTGGAAGTGCTGGAGTATTTGGAATCATTGCTGCTTTGAAGAAAGAAGGAAAACCTGTGAGTTTTGTTTTCTGATGCAATGACCTTAAACCACAAGTATTTAAGTATTTCTAATACAAAAAAAAATAATGTATGTACCTATATAAGATTTGACGATAGCATTTGATAAAGTAAAGACATTTCAATGCAATATTTCCCACTTCATACAGCAGCATTTCGACATTGAGCTAGCAAAACGAGTAAACATACACCAGAAATGTTACTAAAGTTGTGTTTCCAAATTAAAATCGAAATTAACTCGTTAAATTTTTGCGACAGTCTGGTCAGTGCCTTTCATGCATTCTGCAAAATCTTACTTTCACCTATTGTCTGCCATACGGTGTCGACATCCACCAATTGTTAGACAATTGTTTGATTCATTTTGTATATCAAAGTTTTTTTTTTCAATTTGATCACAAGATAAACGTGGCAATGGTTTTGTCATTTGTGTCATTCTTCATGGCTATCTTTGTACTCGTAACTGGTGCAGTACCTATAGATGAAGAAAGGGTACATGGAGTACGTTATTGTTCTGACCATTTGAGCAATCTTAGTTATGAACAGAAGCTATTGAAAATTGAGAAGTGTGAACATGAGATAGTAAGTAATTATAAGGAATGTTCACAATGCACAACGTGCACAAGCCATGTAGTTTATGTACAGTACACATGAAAAAAACACATTTACACAGTGTGTGATTTACAATTTTGATATAAGAATACAAATTTTGTGGTTTACAATGTCCACAAGCCGATAGGCTGGTCAGTGGTCCGCTCCACTAAAAAAACTAACATGTGTTGGCTGTTGCCATGGTAGGACATGAATGTGTAGCTAACGTTTGTTACTTTATTACTAGCACGTCAATGCACGTTCTGTTATCGATATTATATTCATGCAAGTTAACCCTTTAACCTAAATGAAACGCAGCATTTACAGTTCATAAAAAGTTCAAAGTTGCACTTGAATTACGTTGATACAGCCAAAATAAAAAAGCATGATCATTTTAAGCAAAAGCTGCCCAGCGTAAAATAAATCACAGACGAATTAATAAGTGTAGCAACTGAAAATCGCACACGCAAACAGAGATACACACACACACACACAGACAGACACACATACAAATGGCAACTGGTCATCAACATATCAAAAACCAATATTATTATATTCAATAAAACAGGAAACAAGCTAACCAAGCATAAATTTCATTTTAATAATGATGAACTTGAAACAATTTATAATTATTCCTACCTGGGAGTCAAATTAAGTAGTTCAGGCAAGCGTCATAAGGCACAAGATGATTTTGAAAATAGGGCTTTGAAAGCATGTTTTAAAGTTAAACAACTTTTACTTTATGACGTAAATATCTCTGTTAAAATAACTAGACACAACTGGTACACCAAACTGGTGTCAAGCATCAAACAAACTCACAATTTTCGTATGAATGTGTGTGAATGTGTGCACAATTTCCATATAAAAGAAAGTATATGGTTTACAATTTGCATATACGTGTGCTTTACAATCTCTATATAATACAAATTGTGATGTTGAACTCTGTAGTAATACATGTGTGTGGTTTACAATCTTCATATAAATAGAATATGAGTGGTTTAAATTCTCAATATAAATGCAAGTGTGTGGTTTACAGTCTCTAAATAAAAACACGTGTCTGTCCTTCAATATTCAAATGAAAACATGTGTGTCTTTCACTCGATGCATGTGTGTGTTAGTGTGGCTTTTAATCTCCAAAAGTGTACAAAGTCTATGATTTACAATCTGCATATGTGTACTTTACTAATCTCAATGTGTTATATAGGAATATATGTGTGTGGCTATATATCCCACATTTTGTACACAAAATTTTTGGTTACAATCGCCATATGTATACAAGTGTGTGTATTATAAATTCCATATGTGTTGACATGTGTAGCCACAATCACTTCTCTGACTTAATTGTAATTTACATTTGTAGTCCAAAAAACGAGCCATTGATGGATATATTATACTCATTGCTGTAGTTGATATAGCAATATCATTGATAAATGGTTGCTATGGAATCAAAGGAATTTGTTGTGATGGTAACCATGGTGACGCGGAACGTACCGATGATGGGTCGAAAAAGCCAGTTCGTGAAGACAGGAAAATGGTGAGTTTTGAATTGTATATATGTATGACTTATTTTATGTATAATTATATGGAAACTATTTACAGAACTACAACATATGAAGCTTCAATGAAACATTTATATTATGATTCACGTAATACATACACTTGATGCCTATAAATACCTATTCAAGTTATAACAGATGTCACTATGAATGCTAAGTATGAAACGTATGAAAAGTATGATTATTGTAGGTGTCCAATTTATGCTAATGTAATGCAACTAATTCACCACGTGCACATGTAATTCTCTGTCAATTAAATATCTGTTCACTATGAAATGGAATGAAGACAATAAAAGGAAAAGCAATAAATAAAACGAAATATTGCTGAGGTGGTTACCCTTGGCACAGTTAGAAATAATCTTAGCTGCATACATGTGTGTTTGTTCACTCAGTAATTTTAAGATTTTCTGACTATTCTCATTTTTATTTACTCACATTGGTGTCATTTCTGTCTTTCTCAGATTGAATAGAATACAGTGTGTTTCCATTCACATACAAAATAGTCTACAAATTTCAGCACCTCTAGCTGATGAATGCTATTTCGTTATCTATCCATCGATATACTTAGATTAAATAGGCAATTCAAGGATAATTTATTTCATTCTTCTCGATAGAGCTCATAATATTTCCCAGTATTGCTAAAATTGACATCCGCTCACAATTTGGCCAAGTACAACTATATTATGCGGGTACTCTGATTATCTTGCTGATGTAGTGATATTTCTGGTGACAAGGACTATCTTCAAAGACTAAACAAAATACACAAATGTCAGTAAAACAAAATCAATTACACTAAAACCACCTCTTCGGTCCTACATCTTACTTTTTTGTAATAAATATATGTTTATAATTGTATCTGAATCGTGGTAATAAATCGGCAGCTGGGTAGATGTTTGAGCAGTATTAAACTGTCTTTTGAGAATTTTGATATGTTATTCAAACCATTAGCTCATTACACACTTATCTTTTAATGCTGGTTGACACATTATATTACATTTTACTACAGGGCATTGACGCAGGGTCTGTTTTCCAGAAGTTCATCAATGCTGTATCGTTTTGCAGACCACAACCAGTGCAGGTGATTATTATACCACACTACATTCCATGTAACGACAACTCCCTCGTGTATTTGATGTACATGAATAGCAATTATTGAGGTTTATATTATGTGAAAAATACCTTAGATGAGAATTGAGTACTACAATGATGTGTGATTTCACTCTGAATATATAGTTCGGGAAAATTAAATCTTGCAATGGTGTGTGATTTCACTTAGAATACACAGTTGTGGAGAATTTAATGCTGCAATGGTGTGTGACTGCATTCTGAATACATATTTGTTGAGAATTCTATCATGCAATGGCGTGTGCTTGCACTCTGATTCCATAATTGTTGAGAACTTAATACTGCAATGGTGCGCGATTCCACTCTGAAAAAATACATAATTGTTGAGAATTCAATCCTGCAATGGTGTGTGATTGCACTCTGAATACACAGTTGTGGAGAATTTAATGCTGCAATGGTGTGTGACTGCATTCTGAATACATATTTGTTGAGAATTCTATCATGCAATGGCGTGTGCTTGCACTCTGAATAGATAACTGTTGAGAAATCAATACTGCAACGGCGTGTGATTGCACTCTGGATACATAATTGTTGATAATTCAATACTGCAACGGCCTGTGACTGCACTCTGAAAAATAGTTGTTGAGAATTCAATCCTACAATGGTGTGTAATTGCACTCTGAAACATAATTGTTGAGAATTCAATCCTACAATGGTGTGTGATTGCACTCTGAAACATAATTGTTGAGAATTCAATCCTGCAATGGTGTGTGATTGCACACTGGATACATAATTGTTGAGAATTCAATACTACAATGGCGTGTGACTGCATTCTGAA